TCTAATTTTAATGAACCACGTCAGTGAATAAATTCCAGCTTTCAGAACCACTCGGGCCTGGTCTGCCGGCAGCCAGCTCAAGTGACTCCGCTGTGGCCTTCCCGGCAGCTCCGGTGGGTTCCAAGCAGAGGAAGGCATCTGCTGGGATCAGACCACTAAGACCCGACATGTGTGTGTATGTGTGTGTGTGTTTAATGAGCAAAGTGGTTTCCCTGGCTTCTCATTCCAGGCACAGGAAGCAATTATGCATTGTGTTCCTAACAGAACTTGGAGATCAAAGCTAAAAAAAAAAAAAACATTCTTTACATACACCTATAAATGGTCAGGCATAATTAAAGCACTCAGAGAAACAAAAATACACCTGAGACAGTAGGGAAGCGAGACTCAGGAAGGAACAGACGGAGCTCCGCGGCTGCCGCGGCCCCGGGGAGCGCTGAGCCTCCAGAAGGCGTTGGCCGCATGAACGACGAGGGGTGGGCCGGCTGGCCGGGCGGCCCTGAGCATACCCGGGGTGCACGCGCGAAGCTGCTGCTCGCCGGCGCCTCGCGACAGCAAGGTGTCCCGTTACCATCGGTGACCCACGCCAGTTGGGAAACTGGCCGAGCTCCGTGCGGGGTGGGGGGTTGTTCTGCTCCGGCGTGAGACGCGCGGGCATGTGAAGGGATGCGCGGAGGCGGCGGCCCAAAGATCACATGGAAGTGGTCACAAGGGCTCCTTCCGGGGAGGCGTCCAGGGGTGCTGGCCGCGTCATCTACCACGGACGTGTGATTTGGGGGCTACTTCGAAACTGACGCCAGCATCAGAACGTCCCGGGCGGGCAGCCTGGTTCTGCTGTCGCGCATACACTTGTGCTCGGGTGGGAAAGGGGTCCCTGGGAGGAGGCCGGAAGCCCCTGTCCTGTGATCAGCCACAGGGGAGCTGGCTGGAGAGTTGGGGCATCTCCTAGGGAGGCCATGGTTCTCAGCACAGGTGTGAGGAGAGGGGATTCGGGGCTCAGGTCCCCAGAGCCTGCAGCCTGGAGAGAAGCATCCGTGTGGCTGTTGTGATCCTGTGGGAAGAGCAGGAACTGGACAGGGTGGGAGGCCCCCGGCTCCACCGCCCACCCCCGTGACCCCCCAGCAGCTGAACTCGGCCAGGCTGGGCTGCCCCGTGGCTCACGGGCTGTTGAGCTGGGTCGGCCTGTGCGCCCTGAACCAGAACCTCTGAACAGAATCAGTATTTGATAGGTCCCCAGATGACTGCAAAGTCCCGCCAGGTCGCCAGGTGGGGAAGCGCTCCTGCATTCCCGGCATGCCCACGCGGGCCCCGCCCTTCTGCGCCCCAGAGCCTTGCTGTAAGGGTCACCCGCCCCGCCCGCCCGCCCGCAGGGAGCTGCAGGAGGAGAGCGGTCTGACCGTGGACGTGCTTCACAAGGTGGGCCACATCGTGTTTGAGTTCGTGGGCGAGCCTGAGCTGATGGACGTGCACATCTTCTGCACAGACAGTGTCCAGGGGACGCCCGTGGAGAGCGATGGTGAGTCTTGGAGTCCGTCCCTCCCCACCCCGGCGGGCGAGGGGAAGCCAGGCCCGGGTCCCGGGAGGCGGGCACCGCGCCAGCACCTAGCTCTGAGCCTCGTTCCTCTTCCGCAAAGTGACAGTGACACAGCCAGAAGGACTGAGCCCGAGTACGCCCGGTTCCCCACACAGACCTGCCTGGTCATTGCTCACTGACGGGCAGTTTAAGCCCGAGTGGAACATGTGTTCTCTTTCCACCTGCTACAGAAATGCGCCCTCGGTGGTTCCAGCTAGACCAGATCCCCTTCTCGGACATGTGGCCCGATGACAGCTACTGGTTTCCCCTCCTGCTCCAGAAGAAGAAATTCCACGGGTACTTCAAGTTCCAGGACCCCGACACCATCCTGGACTACACACTACGCGAGGTGGACGAGGCGTAGAGGCAGAAGTGCACTGGCACCTGCAGGCCATGGGAGCCGCCTCACCCGGTTCACTGAGCCCCGAGGCAGAGCTGGGGTCTTGGGGGTGGGGTGGGGTGCGGTGCAGTGGGCGGAGGTGAAAATAAAAGACCTTGTACCTTTTCCACATTCCTCACGGGGCCCCAGCTGGGCTGTGACCGCACCCTGGGACAGAGCAGCGCCGAGGGGACAGCTGGAGGGCTGGGTGCTGCCCTGTGCGGTGCCATGGGCTCTTGTTGGGACCCAGTGTGGGCGAACACCTGTACCCTCCTTGCTCACCACCCCTCCATCAAGGGGAAACTGAGTAACAGTCATGGCCCAGGGCTAAAACCCTGGTCTACAGCACTGGAGGCTGTCCCCTACGTGACCCCAAGGGACAGGGTGTTCTTGTCCACATCTCTGACTACCAGAAAAGGGGGAGGCAGAGAACGTACAATTTACTCAATTTTCATAAACAGGTTTAATGGTGGTCGTTCATGTTTATCGATAAAAACTTTGGAACGTAGGCCATTTGTGAACAATTCCAGTTTACTGGGCGTAATAGTAACTGATCCCTACAGCTTTTCTTATAAAGTGCTCCATACATCAAACTGCATCACCAAGGGAGGAAGAGCCTCGAGGGCAGACAGAACCAGCCAGAGTCCCGTGCGCGCATCCAAACTGTGTCTTCCGCTCCGGCTCTGCATCTGCCGGCGACAGCGAGCGAGCGAGCAGGGTCCAGGCTGGAAGGTCCTGGGTGGGGTTCCACTCCAGCCTTGCTGGAGTCCGGGAGCAGGGCTCTGTCCCCCCACGCAGGCCATGGAAGACAAGGAAGACCCTGCAGCTCAGGTACAAGGAGGCTCTGTGCAGAAAAAGGTGGCTTCTGCAGTCTCCAGCTGAGGGCACAGGGAGGACATGACACCCCCACCCCCAGCAAGCCTCTGCATCTGTCTGTTGACCTCCCTGCAGGGCCTGGGAGGGGGAGGGAGGGGATGGACCAGAAACTCCCCTCCAGGCAAGAGCCCCTCCTCGTTTCCAGGCCAAGGGAACATGGAGTCACCAGCAAGTCCTCTCCAGAAAGCACAGGGCAAGTCTCTAGTGCTGGAAGTCTCCTTGGTGACCTGGGTGAGGAGGCCCTCCCACCTTCGAGCTGCTGCCCAGTGCATGCGCCCCCAACCCCAGCGCATGCAAGGCGGGGCCTGCTCTCCACTGTCCTGGGATCGCCTGTCCCTCGCCAGCCACATGCAGGCCATGGGCGGGTGAGCAGCATCGGACAGGGACGAACAGGAGGCTCAGAGGTCACGCTTTGTGGCTCAAGTGCACACAGGGCCGCGGGAGCAGCCCCGTGGGGCAGCACAGACCCGCTCCCAGCGCCCGAGAACCCATCTCTACAGTGGGGGGTGAGGACACAAGCACCACCCAGAAACAAGCCACTGACCAAAACGACCCCCAGTGTGCTGGGCTCTGCAGATGCACCGCCCCTTCTCGTCAGCCCAGGAAGGCACAAGCCGCGGCCATGGGGCCTCGGGCTGGGGGGGGGGCGCAGCAGGTTTCCCCACACACCACACACACACCCCCCCCCACGGCTGTTCCACCGGCACAGGCAGAACCTACACGTGGGGTGGGTCCAAGTCCCGGCCTGACCCGGTCGTCTAGCCAGACGGAAAGGACACTTTCCCCCAGACCATGGTGTGCATGGTCTCCTTGGGGAAGCACACCTGTCTGTGGGTAGAGAAGTTACCCTCGGTCCCCGTGCTGTGTGCGGATACACAGGTGGACATCAGACCCAGACGCACCCTCAGGAGTCTGCGCTCCCCCCCGGAAGGCATGAATCTCAGGAATCCTGTAGTACAGTCAGAACCTCCTCCAGCACCGCTCAGGGCCAGGGAGCAGTGAGCTCAAAGGGCTGCAGGCCTCGGAGAAAGCACCCTGCATATGTTTACACAAAAGGGATTCAGAGCAGGAAGCACCCGGGCCCTAAGCACACAGGAGCCCCAGAGCTCCTGGAACAGAGCCCTCTGGGCCTGCAGGTGCCGGAGGGGGGCTAGAAGGAGGGGTCTGAGTGCTTAAAGTAGGTGAGGTCAGCTTACAGCAGGTCGGCCGCGGCAACACGGGCCCTTCAGGCAGAGTCCAGCCGGGACACCGCCCCCCACCCGCGCTCCTGTCCTTCCGGCCTCCAGGTGCAGTCTGCAGAGAAAGGGGCGTCCAGGCAGCTGAGAGGACGGAGCTGTTGCTGCACTTGGACAAACAGCACCACTTCACCTTGTCTCCGCCCTCGCGGACCACCAGGCACACACGCGTCAGAGAGTGAGCGTGCACACAGGGAGGGACACAGGACACTTTACCCTAGAGGCCAGGCCAGAGGCCCCAAGGCACTCCCTGGGGCTTGTCCCTGGAAATCACCGCCGTCTGTGCACCCAGCGCCCCTGAGCGCCCGCCCCACGCACACTCACACTGCCACCCTACACCGGCCCAGGACGGCCGGCTGGCCTCCAGGGACGTGCCAGCTACAGCCACCCCTCATCTGACACAGGGACAGTCCTGCCCTCTGTGGGGTCAGCTCGTCCAGACCATCCTGACTGCTCTAAGCCCCTGGGGGGGCCCCCTGCACATGCCACCCCCCCCGGCACCTGCTATGTGGAAACCATCCTGCCACCGTGACCTCTGGGAATCAGAGACAACCATTCCAGGGACCCTCCACTTCTCCCCGCCAGACTCACAGGCACTGTGGGGGGGGGGGGGGG